TGGAACTGCTAGGGCGCCGGGGGCAGCGCCTCGAAGGTGCCCTCCGCCGCCCTGGCCCAATGGTGCCGCCTTGCGTGTGGGCTGTGCTTAAGGCGCCCCTGGGTGGCTGGACTACCAAGTCGGCACCGCCGTGCCTCTTTGGCTCCGAGCATGAACATGACGACCTACGCCACTGCGCCTACTGCCCCATCCTGACGCGGCTCTGCCGTGCACGCGCTTGTCTCCGCCAGGGCCCTTCGGCATCAGGGCTGGATGGATTTCTACTGCTAGACGGGGCGCCGCCGCGCGCGTTTGCCCTCCGTGCTCTCGGGCTGTGCGCGACCTCTCAGGGCCGCCAGCGCAGCGCGGCACGGGCAGGCCTCCGCCATGGGCGCTCGGCCGCAGGCGCTGGCAGACGGCGCGGCCTTCGCGCGCGCGCCTGGCCGAGCAATGCGCCAGCGCGGCCCGTTAGGGCAGCAGTTAACACCTACAGGATTCATTATCTCATCGTCTGAAGGCGGTCGTGGCGTGGCAGCTTTCCTTCCGCCTCACCGTAGCTTCATTTTTTTACCTAACAGCGTTTGCTGATAGGTTTCTAGTAGGGTCAAAAGAGAGCATCATGACTCCTCAGGGGGGTCTGGGCGGGTGCCGGGGAGGAGAACCGGGAATCGTTTTTCGCCAACAGTCACACACTTCGTGCTCTTCGACCTCCCAGAACTCCATTCCCGCGCCACATTCTGGAGAACCGGGAACAGAGCTGGGCTCGCTTTTCGCCAACAGTCATACATTTCGTGCTCTTCGACCTCCCAGAACTCCATTCCCGGGCCACATTCTGGAGAACCGGGAACAAAGCCGGGTTTGTTTTTCGTCAACTGTCACACACTTCGTGCTCTTCGACCTCCCAGAACTCCACTCCCGGGCTACATTTTGAGTACCCGGAGCCAACTGTAGGCCACTTCGTGGTCTTCGAGTTCCCAGAACTCCATTCCCCGGCATTATTTTGGATGCCCGGGGCCAATTGTAGGGCACTTCGTGCTCTTCAAGTTCCCAGAACTCCATTCCTAGGCATGATTTTGAATGCCCGGAGCCAACTGTTTTGAATGCCCGGAGCCAACTGTAGGCCACTTCGTGTTCTTCTAGTTCCCAGAACTTCATTCCTGGGCCACATTTTGAATGCTGAGGCAGGCTGATGCTGCGGCCGAGGCAGGCTGAGGCTGAGGCAGGCTGAGGCTGAGGCCGAGGCTGAAGGCAGACTGAGGCTGAGGCTGAAGCAGACTGAGGCTGAGGCTGAGGCAGGCTGAGGCTGAGGCTGAAGCAGGCTGATGCTGAGGCAGGCTGAGGCTGAGGCTGAGGCCGATGCAGGCTGAGGCTGAGGCAGGCTGAGGCTGAGGCCGAGGCTGAAGGCAGACTGAGGCTGAGGCTGAAGCAGGCTGAGGCTGAGGCTGAGGCAGGCTGAGGCTGAGGCTGAGGCAGGCTGAGGCTGAGGCTGTGACTGCGACTGCCGTTGCCGCTGCGACTGTCATCGCGAATGCGACTACGACTGCGAGAACAGCAGAATTCTACAACTGGATTTTCATCTGAATCTTAAGGGGAATGCTTTCAGATATGCTTCTACACATCGCTGTTAGGTTGCTTTTGCTTTGCCGTTTTTTTTTTTTTTTTTTTTTTTTTTTCTCTCTCTCTCTCTCTCTCTCTCTCTCTCTCTTGTGCCGTTGGCATAGCGCGTGCGGTCTCTCCGTCAGCTCCCGGCGCCCCCTGGACAACCAGAAGGGTTGCGCTCATCCCTCCCCCCCGCTTCTGTCCCCCTTCTTTTTCTTTTTCTTCTTCGTTTGATTATCTTGATTGCGTCGCCCAGTTGTGTGGCCCCCCTTGGGAGCACACCGATGGTAAGTGGGGCGCCCGGACTCGTTGGAGTCGGTTTGCGCGGACCCGGGATTTGTTCAGTTTTGTATGTAGTTTTTTTTTTTTCATTTCGGTTATTACTTTAGGGTGTGATTTAAACTATATGAAATGATTTTGGGCGTTTTCGTATCAGCCCCCCCCCCTCTCCTCTCTCTACTCCTCCCCCTCCTCCTCTTCCTCCTCCTTCTCCTCCTCCTTTTCTTTCCTTTCCGCAGTGTTGGAAACGCTGTACTGAGCGGGGGAGACGCATGCGAACACCGCCACTGGGGCCGTCAGAGGAGCTCCCGATGGGGCCAAGAAGTGCTGTACTGAGCGGGGGAGACGCACGCAACTAAAGCCATTAAGGCCCTCGGGGGACCTTCCCATAGGGCCACGAAGCGCTGTACTGGGTGGGGGAGACGCGTATAAACACTGCCACTGGTGCCTTCGGTTGGAGCTCCCTACGGCGCCGGTTAAGATACATGCTCCGCGTGCGGACCATGAACAAAAATACAGGGTTGATTAATACATACAAGGATGAGGTTAGGCATACATTTATGCATAACTCAATCATGATTTTAAACTTCCTATATATAGAACATCCTATGTATTAAAACCTGCCCTGTATGGAGCAGTGCTTAGGAAAGCGCACCTTTTCCTCCCTCTTTCCCTGCCCTTTCCCTGCAGTGCAGACGCGGGCGCCTTCCCGCTCCACGGGGCACCCTCTCGCCAAATGGCTGAGAGCCACCTTGAGCATACCCTTTGTGATGTTCGTCAATCTGCAGAGGGACGTGCGAGTGCCCACGCAGGATCGCACCGTGCGCAGCATGTGTCTGACCGTATGCGCCCCCCATCGCAGAGCCGAGCCGAGCGGACAACAAAAAAACTGCAGATGGTTGGGTCCTTCGCCAGGCTTATTTTTGACGACGGCCCTTGCAGAAGCAGGACTCGGCTTGTACTGCTGTTGCCCGCTGTTTGCAACACTGGCCGTAGGCGGCACCGCCCAGTGCGCCTTCGGCATCTGCTCAAAGCCTGCATAAGGCTCCCTCCACGGCAAAAACGTGTTCCTCTTCCTGTCAATGTTTGCATGTGTGTGTGTGTGTGTGTGTGTGTGGCAGTGTGTGCGTGTGTCCATGTCTATCGATTCTACGAGGTCGTGTGAGGCGGTGTTCATGGGTATCATGTGGGCGATGGTCTGCGAGTGCGTCCTGGCCTTCGTGCCCGCCGTAGGTTTCGCCGGTGGGAGTCGGCCTGGCCCGCGGGCAGCGCTGCCGCGGTATATATCCGAGGCTCGAGGTTTAGTCCTGGAAAGAACGTGTGTGTGTGTGTGTGTGTATGTGCTTGTGTGGATACTGGCCTCGTCCCCGTCCTTCTTAGCCCGACACGCGCGCGCCAGTGGCGGCTTCCTCTCGGTGAGTGGCTCCCTCGCCCCGCCCGCGAACGCGCCAAAGAGTGTGTGTGTGTGTGTGCGTGCGTGCGTGCGTGCGTGTGTGCGTGTGCGTGTGCGTGTGCGTGTGCGTGTGTGTGTGTGTGTGTGTGTGTGTGTGTGTGTGTGTGTGTGTGTGTGTGTGTGCGAGTGTGTGTGTGTTGTTGTGTGTGTGTGTGTGTGTGTGTGCGTGTGTGTGTGTGTGTGTTTCAGGGGGTGGGGCAGGGGGAGAAGTGCCTGTGTGCGTGTGTGTGTGTGTGTGTGTGACGTTCATCCACTGCTGCCCTCCGCCGTCCATGTCCAGACGGTTACGGCTGCCGACGGTGCCGAGACCCTGAGTGGTCTCTGAGTGCTCGGGCGGGCTTAGACGTGCGCGCTCGATTTGCTGTATTCCGACCGTCTACGCCCTGTCGCTGCGCGCAGGGCCGCGACGCCAAAAAGTGTGTCTGTGCGTCTCGGTGTGTGTATGTGCGTGTGTGTGCGTGTGTGTCGCCGTGACATGGGGTGCGGGTCGGCTTGGCCGCGGCCTTTATGATTTTTTACATCCTGGCGTCGCGCCTGGGCGTGCGTGGCCGCACCTGGGCTGCAGTTCGCTGCCCCTGCTGGGCTTTCAGCTGTCTGTCGGCCTGCTCTTCCGGCAGCGGTCTTCCGCGGTGGTTCGTCGGTCCCCCTCCCTCTTTGGGTCGCGGGGGTCGCTCGCCTCGCTGTCGTCGGTCGGCCGCGGGTCGGCCGTGTCGTGGGGCCTTCCGCCGTCGCCTCTCCGGGCACCTCTCTTGCTTTTGCTCTTGCTGCTTTCCCCCCCTATCTCTTCTCCTCCTTCCGGGCCGTCCCCACCGCGGCGGTCTGTCTCCTTCTGTTTGAGCGTTGGCGTATCCCGTTGGGGAGTTCGCCTTGCTCGTCTTCTGTTTTACTCTGTCGCGGTTTGGTCGGAGTGGTGCGACCTTTGCCGTGGTGAGTAGAGTCTCTCCTGGGCCTTGTTCGTTGCCCCATCTTGTTGGTTTTGCTTTCGCCTGCCTCGCTGGTGGCCTTTCGCGGCTCTGGTTCTTGTTGTGGCTTGCTGTTTTAGCGCTGGCGTCTGCACTGCGCGCTCGGCCATGCTCGCGCCTGTCCCTCACCCGTGTGCGAGGCCGCGTTTCGCGGTTGCTGCTCGCGGTCGCCCGTGTGGAGCTTTGTTTTGTCGCTTGAGGCTTAGCCAGCCTCGGCCGCGTGTTACCTTTATCTTGCCGACCTCATGCACCCTGTTGTACGGTCGCTGAATCTGTTGATTGCTCGCTGCAAGGTTGGTGGCCGTGCTCTGTCGCGTCGTTCCTTGCGTGTACGCACCGCCACCAAGTTGGCTGGTCTGACAGCCTTGCAGTTCTTTTTCGTTGCTGTCTCTCGAGGCTTCAATTCGCACCAGATTGCTGCTTGCGCTTCAAACTACCGGCGTCGCACTTATGTTCCCTGTTTTTTTTGGGCTGCTCCACGTTGGCATTGGAGCGCCTCCCGTTTTTCACTACCAATATGCATGGTCGTGACAGGACTTTTTCACCATGGCGCGTTCTATGAAGTTCGTTCGCAATTGACACCTCCACCAGCCTACCGCTCCTTAGGTCCTTCTGTGCCGCTGGCTAAAAAGTCTGTGTATGTGTGTGTGTGTGGGGGCAGGGAGAAGTGTGTGTGTGTGTGTTGATGTACGTGCCTGTCCACCTTGATTCCCCGATGGGGCCGACAGGAGAAGTTGGCAGAATGTGGCGTGGATACCGCTCAGGCGACGGGTTTGTTCGAGTTGTGTTTTGCGGAACAGGAGGTGGTGCCTGAAGGCATGCGTGAGGATGAGGGGGCATCCGCTTGTTCTATATCGCTCCTCACGTGCCCATCTATACGTACGGATAGTCCTCCATGTATGCGCATGACGGCACGCGCTTGGAGGGGCGTGCAGACGGAACGATGACATGCAGACTGTTGCAAGTAGACAGGTCCGTGGTGAGGATGAGCATCGTGGTTTTGCAAGGGGCTTTGCAATGTGGCTTTGCACGGGGCTTTGCAACTAGACGGGTCATTGCAGGGCTTTGCAAGGGGCTTTGAACGGATGGGCATATGACCTGGAAAGGAAAGGAGGGGAGAGAGGAGGTGGAGGAGAAGGGTCTGGGATGGGGTTGGATATTCGAGGAGAGGAGAGGAGTAGCGGAGAGGAGAGGATCTGATGGAAAGGTGGGACAAGCGAGTAGAGCCAAGGAGATAAAATGAGTGGAGAGGCGATTCGAGTCATAAGAGGGAGGATGTGAAGCGCTGGTAGACTTGCTAGACCGCCCGCTGCTTCACCGAGCCGCATTGGCGACGCAAAAACCAATCCCCAGTTCGACAAGATTGTCGAGGAGCTGGGCATCAACATTACTCCTATCAGCAAGCCAGGCCAGACCGGCTTCTCGGCGGGCTGCCAAGATGGGAGCGGGGAAGCGGAGGATGGGCAGGAGGAAGAGGAAACGTGATCGCCTGTCTTGCCAACTGCGGAGGCCTCATCAACGGGGTCTGGGTAGATGGGGTCGGCGATGCATCGGCGACGTCGGCGTGGAGAAGATCAGGCTGCGCATCGAGCCGCATCGGCGATGCATCGGCGATGCGACGCGATCTTCCGACCCCATCAGCTCGGACTCTACGTCGGAGGCCTCCAGTGCCAGGCCCCCAGACCGGCGAAGAGCGACTTTGGACGAACGGCTGGTCCGGGGGAGGGGGCCGAGAGAAGCCAGGGCGCCGGCGGCTCGAACATAATCAGGTCGTCATGGGCTGTCGCTGTGTGGTTTTGTGATAAGCGGACGTGCTTGGGAATTTCGGGCGACAAAACCTATATACATCCACTGCCCCCTGGTCGCCTAGCCAAGCTAGGAGGGCCTGGCGTTTCAGGGTGGGCCTGGCCAGGGAGCAGTCGATATGTGTGTATGCATGTGTGCATGTATGCATGTATGTATGTATGCATGTATGCATGTATGCATGTATGCATGTATGCATGTAAGCATGTATGCATGTATGCATGTATGCATGTATGCATGTATGCATGTATGCATGTGTGTATGTATGCATGTATGCATGTATGCATGCATGCATGTATGCATGCATGCATGCATGTATGTATTTATGTATGCATGTATGCATGTATGCATGTATGCATGTATGCATGTATGTATGTATGTATGTATGTATGTATGTATGTAGGTAGGTATGTATGTATGTATGCAATGCCATGCATGTATGCAAACATACATATGTAGGTATCCTCGCCCTAGAACTGGTGGTTGTCGCAGGCTGCACGCGCGCGCGCGGCGCACTCCCTCGGCCCTGCGACCCCGGTCGGCCGGCCTCGGGGCTCCGATGCCCTGGGCTCGCCCCCGCTGCCGTAGCACACGGCGCGCGCGTCCACCGCGCCAAGGGCCGTCGGGGCGGGGCAGCACCTTTTGGCATCGACAGTCGCTTCGCTATGGAGTCTCATTTGTTTCGGCGGGGAGGGAGGGGGCGAAGTGAGAAGGAGAAGGGCCTCTCAGAAGGCGGCGGGACTTCTCAGAGGCCCTCAGGCCTTCTGAGAAGTCTTCTGTGTCTCCGGGGAAGGCTTAGAACACTTCTCAAGGGCAGGGGGACTTCCGAGCCTTCTGAGAAGGCCGTCTCTTCCCCACTTCACCATCAAGCTCGCCGCCGATGGTTGTCGTGTGAGTGCGCCCGACGTGCTGTAGCCTTGACTCAGGCGGTAACTGTGCTGTCTCGTTGTTTCCCTCCGTTCCCCGTTCTCCCTCGCGGCGCTGCGCTGCGCTGCATCATCTGGCAGAATGCTGTGTCTGTCCAGGCGCTTATCAGCCATGTCTCGGACGCGTTCGCTGGACAGCTCGTCTAGCTTCGCGAGTTCTGAGAATAACTGTTCGCATTTCCGCCCCCTCCTCGTCGCTCTGCCTATTCTTGCCGCAAGTGTTGTCAGCGCCAGGCGATTTTTGCAAGTGTTTTGAGCAGGCGATGCGCGTGAGAGCCGATTTTGGCAAACACGCTGTCCACTTGCCCTCCCCGTCCCCTCCTCCTTCCTCTCCCCCACGGCGATCTGAAGTTGCTTGTTGGTGCACGTCATTGCCACATAAAGCTCATAGCTTTTCGGAGTGTTTTACTCCCAGGCTCGCGTCACGGAGGTGGTTTGTCATGGTGCTGTCCACGCCTTCAGCTCCCTCCAGCGCTGCAAAAGTAGAGGTGGTTTTCTAAAAGGACGAATGGGCCGTGGGATTCTCGCACACAAAGCCTGGCAAGACTTCCATCCTGAGCGCGCTGGCGCGGCCAGCATCGGCCGCAGGTGGGCCGCGGCGTCGGTGCATCCACGGGCGCTGCCTAGGCCGTGTGCGCGGAAAGCAAGGGTGCGCACAGCTGAGCCGTCCAGGTGTGGACCGACTAGGTACTGCACGTGAGGAAACGCACAGCGGAGCCGCCCAGGTGGGGCAATGTAGGCACTGCAAGTGACGAACAGCAATCAAAAGTGGGATCCCCGCGCACAATATCTGGGTCTCTGTTCTCTCTCCGTGCCTTCTGCACTGCCTCGCCCGCCCTCCTGTTTCGCGCGCCCACGCCGGCACTCCTCGAGAGGCCGCCGCAGGGGCGTCGCGAGCTTGCCCTGCGCTGCCGTTGCTGGAGCGAGGAGCGAGAGCCAGGTCGTCGTGGGTCCCGGACCCGTCCTGCCCGCCCAGCCCTCCGGCCTGCGTGGCGCCGCCTGCCTTCCTTCGGGGGTTCGCCAAGGTCAGGAGCGAAAGAAGGACGTACATGTACATGAATCCACGCTGTTTTCGAGAGCACGCATTTCACAAATGTTCGTATAACGCGGCCCGTCTCGCGAATCGAGGGGCCGTGTTCATGTACATAGCTGGGCGCGTACGTCCTTTGTGGGCTCCCTAAAAGGGAGGGTCATCCCAAGGTGGGGCCGGGGGAGCGGGCTCAGCCGGACGCTCCCGTGCCACGCGCCTCGTTCTTCCAGGGGCCGTCCTCCCTTCCGCCCCACCTGTGCCCCTGCCCCACCCTTTCAGGAGGGGAAGGAGCACACAGACGGAGGAAGACATAGGAAGATATGGGAAGTGGGGGGGAAGTCAAAGACCCAGAAAAGATAGAAAGAGATGGGGGATCCTGGGATTTGTGTGTGTATCTATTTGTGTGTGTCCCTGGGCCCCTTCACCCTGGTGCCCCCCCGATTCCTTCGCCCTCTCGGCGCTCGCGGCCTGGCAGCCGCGGCAGTGCCGGGGCGCATCCCGGTGTGCCACCGGCAGGCCGCAGGGCCTCGGCCTCTCCAAGGGGTCCGAGCAGGATGGGGTCGGAGGACCGCGCCGCATCGCCGATGCGTTGGCGCTGCGGCGCGACGTGCAGCCCGATTCTCTTTTTCGGTATCGTTCAACCGATCCCCATCCCCGTCTCCATCCCCTTCGAGACATCCACCAAATTACCACCCCAGTTGGGGATACACCCCTCGAAACCCGAAGACCTGTATCCCCATCTGGGGGGGCAAATCGGTTCAGTGGGGCCCAGGCCACGCCGCTGGGGATGTGGATCGGTTACAGATGCTTACTTTTCGCATCGGCGATGCATCGGCGATGCGGCGCGATCCTCTTCGACCCCATTTGCTCGGACCCCACTTGTCGTGGCACCCCGCCGAAGAGGTACAAGGTGACCGAAACGAATCGGTGACCGAAAACGTGCCCGAAGTTGTGACCGAAAGCAAGGGCGCCCTCGAGGGCGCGAAGTTATTCGCGCTTCGCGCTTCGCGGTTCGGCTCCGAACCCTCATACTCCTCTTCTCCCTTGGGAGGCGGCTTGAGAGCGCGAAGTTATTCGCACTTCGCGCTTCGCGCAGCGCGAAGCGCGAAGTTGGGCGCCCTTGGAAAGCGTAGTGCGACCGAGAGTGTGACCGAAATTGGAAATCGTCTCGGTTTCGAACAGGCCATTTTGGTCACACTCGGGCGTGGCCGGAAAACTTCGGGCGCCTGTTTCGGCCTCACTCGGGCTGATCTTCGGGCACAGTTTCGGTCACGACGCCTCCCTGATAGAGACGAGGTTACGTGGCATTTGGGAGGCCTCTATAGTTGTGGGGGTGGAGGGCGGGGGAAACTGCCAGAGGGTTCTGCCCAGGTGGACGTGACAGACTTTTCACAGACTCACCGAGCGCGTTCCACTACTCAGAAAGTGCCTTCTCGCAACCGTTCGCAAAACACAATTTCGCCTCTATATCGTAGATTGTAGATGCTTCCGCAACGAATCCAGGCCACTTGCGAGTAGTTACTCGGCGAGTAGTGGAACGTGCTTGTCTAATAGTTCTTGGGGTGGGGGTCGGGGGAAACTGCCGGAGTCAAGCGATCGCAAGCATGGATCAATGGGGACGTGGATTGGCGGCGGGTCCCGTTTCCGTAGGAAATCGCGCACTCCCGCCGCCGAACGAGGCGGCACCGGCCGCATTTTGGGGAGGGCACCTCCCCCGATCCGTGGATTTGGCGACCGCGCGCCAGATCGGAGGGAGGGAGGGAGGGAGGGAGGGAGGGAAGGGAGGGAGGGAGGGAGGGAGTCCATGCCTGCGCGCCCCCGACAGATGGGGCGCGAAAGACTGCTCTCCCAGGCGGGAGGCAGCCTGCGCGGGCGTCGCCCGTGCCGCTCCGCCCCCCCCCCCCCCCGCGGAGAGGAAGAGGGCGCCTGTGCCGGGGGTGACATGCCAGCGGGACGAAGTGCCACGATCCGGCGGCGAGCGAGGGGGGGGGAGAGAGGAGGAGAGGGCCTTCTCTCAGAAAGCGGCGGGGGTTCTCAGAAGCCCTCGTGCCTTCTGAGCAGTTTCTGCGTCCTCCTGGAAGTCCCAGAGAACTCCTCGGGAGGCTGGGGGAGTTCCGAGCCTACTGAGAAGGCCTTCTCCTTCTCACTTCCCCCTCGATCTCGCCGCCGAAGGGTAGCCTCGTGACGTCGCCGTCCAACTTGAAAAGAGCATGATGCAGCCAACGTGCCTTGTGCCGAAGGCAGGGGGCTGTTTGGAGCCGTCTGTGTGGAAAGAGAGATTGCAGCAGGTGCCAAACGGGTGGTGGGGCAGCCCGCGACGGTCCAGCGACACGATCAGAGCGTCCCGCTGCTCTGGCGACTGGGGAAAGCGTCCCAGACCCAGTCTGCTACATCGGCGCGAGTACGACGAGGACGGTGGCGGAGAATCTGAGCACAGACGAAGGTGTCTGGGAGGATCGGGGCGGCTGGAACGGGAAGGTCGGGAGCAGGCGGATCACGAAAGTCTGCTGCGTGCCGCTGGCTTCGAGCCCGCTCGCTGGGCTTCCTCGGCCTCCCCGAAGAGGGGCAGCGCGCCCTCGAGGCTCGAGGGCGCCGCCGCCTCCTTCCTCTCGGCGGAGGGGGCGGCGGGCGCGGAGAGAAGGGCCGCATCCGCCTGCGGAAGGCAGGCGGAGGGCTGGCGGAAGCCAGCGGAAGTCCAGAGCTGGGCGATCCCGGGGCCCAGAAGCGGAGGGTTTCTCCGAAGGGCGTAGGCGACCCGTCCTCCTCCTCCTCCTCCTCCTCCTCCTCCTCCTCCGCCCTCCTCCTCCTCCTCCTCCTCCTCCCTCCTCCTCCTCCTCCTCCGCCCTCCTCTCCTCCTCCTCCTCCTTCTCCTCCTCCTCCTCACGCCCTCCTCCTCCTCCGTTCTCCTCCTCCTCCTCCTCCTCCTCCTCCTCCTCCTCCTGCTCCTCCCCCTCCTCCTCCTCGGGTCGCCTGTGGCCCCGGGGGAATCACCACCCACCAAACCACCCCAACCCAAGCCGAAGGCTTCAATTTGCCCTCCATTTCCAGTGGGGGGGGGATCGGGGAACATCGAAAAACCACATGGTCCCCGTAGCCCCCCCAACCCGAAATTCGGGTCAAGTTCGTGTCTTCGGGTTGGGGTGGGGCTGTCTGGTAGGTAGTCAGACAGCGGCCTCCCAAGAGATGGCAAGGTTTTTGGTCCAGGGCTTCGGAAACTCGAGGAAGCAACAACCACAAACATGAACTTTTGGCGCTCCGCGCGGATTTCTTGGATCCGCGCCTGGGCCCCCCCCCGGCGGCGCCTCTGGCGCCGCCCCTGGCGCGCCCCGCGCTCCAGGGAGGGGGGTCCAGCGCAGATCCAAGAAATCCGCGCGGAGCGTCAAAGGTTCATGTTTACGTGCTTTTTCTTCTTCTAGAAACCCGCCATATAGCCAGATTTCAAGCGATTCGTTCCTCCTGTCGGAGGGCACCAACTATACACCAACACCGATCCTGGCCCAGGATCACCCTGGGCCCAGGATGGGTGTATATGCCTTCTTGCGCAAGGCAGGAGGGCGTATACACCGATCCTGGGCCCAGGGTGATCCTGGCCAGGATCGGTGTTGGTGTATAGTTGGTGCCTTCCTATCCTGGTGGTAGAGCATTGGGTTTTGCTGTGCCGTATTTCCCCTGGTAGGTTCACGCGCTGTGTTTCCCGTGCGGCGGCCCAAGCCATGCAGCGCGACATGGTGCGATTTTATCGAGCAGAGACAAGAACGCTCTTGAAAGGACAGGGCGGGACGGACAGGACGTAAGAGGGGGTGAGAGTGCACCCATCTGGCCCCTTTCTTTTCTTCCTGCTATTCTCTCCTCCCGGCTGGTGCAGAAGAAGGCCTTATGCTAAGATGGGGGCGATTTGTAAGGAACGTGCCCAGGAGGCTCCAGACCCTGGAGGACTTCTCATCCGATGAGGGTGGCTGTCGCATCCATGGCCAAGCTTCAACCGGAGTTCCACCGGCTTCCGGACCCTGGATGTCTTAATTACCCAAGGGTACCCAATGCCCTCACCTTATCGGGCCGAGGGCCGCATGCGAATTCCGAAGTGCTCACGCAGGCGGTCCCTGGGCTCGGACGGGCGGTCGGCCTTTCCCCTCCCATGCAGTGCTGCCCCACCCGCTGGGGCGACCCGTGCCCCAGCACAGCCCTTGCTGCGGCGGGTGCGGGGTTCGGGGGCGGATGGGGCGCCCGTGCGGCGCCTCCGCCTCCTCTTCTTCTCATGGTCTCAACACCTACCAAACCACCCCAACCCAACCCGAAGGCCTCGATTTGCCCTCCATTTCCAGTGGGGGGGGGGGTCTGGGAACGCTGAAAAAGCACATGGAACCCGTACCCCCTCCCCCCACCCGAAGTTCGGGTCAGATTCGGGCCTTCGGGTTGGGTTGGGGTGGTCTGGTAGGTAGTCATGTTCCTCTTGGTGTCGGAAGGCAGCGTGTTCCAGCGGCTCTACTACGACGCGCTGAAGCGCCGCAGCGGCGCCGTAATCCAGAAGGCTGCGGCCTCAGGGCTCGGGGCGTGCTGCAGTCGTGCGGCGCCGAGGGGCGGTGGAAATTTCCGCAGGGGTTGCGAAAGAGGTCGAGGGGATGCTCAGTGAAGCGAGGAGGGGTGAGGGAGGACGTCGGGCAACAGCGGGGGCGGAGCAAGACGATGAGGAGGATGAAGGGGTGGAGCAGGGGGCTCCTCCTCCCTCCTCCTCCTCCTCCTCCTCATCCTCCTCCTCCTCCTTCTCCTCCTCCTCCTCCTCCTCCTCCTCCTCCTCCTCCTCCTCGGACTGTAAGACGTGAGATGATGGGGTCGGGTCAGGATTGGGAGAAGGGCGACCGGGATGATAAGCAGGAGGAGTACGAAGAGGAATGTGAAACATACGTGGAGGATGTCATGCACAAGTCGTAACATGGTTGTCGCCTGCTCGCTTGGCCGCCTGAGTACTTGCTTCCATGCTTGAGGGCTCGTATGGTTGCTCTTTTTCGCACTGGCATGCGTCCGTTCATGCTTGCATGATTGTTTACTAGCCCCGACCAGCCCCTCTTCAGCTGCTTGAGCTCAACGTGCCAGGTTCATGTTATTTCGCGCCAGTTGCCTGCCTGTCTTTCCAGCCAACATAGATGCGGCGTGCCACGCTTCATGGTGTGCGCACAGGCCGCGTACCATGTAGTATGTCGCAGAATACCCCTCTTACACATCGTTTCATATCCTAGATGATCGCCACGCACTTGTACGCAAAGCGGAGAGCCGTACGGATTTTCCACTTTGTCTTCGCATTTCCCTGCTGGTAGTCTGAAACGAGCATAGGCTAGACAGCATGGTGCAATGAATGAGGGCTTGGGAGTAGAAGTACGGGGTACGGGGTGCGAAGCAAATTTGTGACCGAAGCTAGACTCACGTGACGCAGCATGCAGCAAACGGTACAAAACAGTATAGGTGGCGTATGCTCAGGGGCAGAGCGAAGTGGGGTCAGTTCTGAGCGCGTACACTTGAGCACACCCTCGTTCTTCTTCGCCCGGTGCACGCATGTCAGCCCACGTGGGCATCGGGGCCCCCAAACGGGGTGGTGACCACACCGTGTGGTGAGTCGGTGGGGGTTCGGGATCACCACACGGTTTTGGGACTCGAGGCCATCTCCGAGGACGTCTCGGGCGACCAGGGCCTCTGGGGTCCCAAGACCGTGCGGTGACGGACCGTGCGGTGAGGCCATGGGGGATTTCGAGGTCACCGCACGGTCTGTCACCGCACCGTTTCGGGATTCCAGAGTGCAGTCCACCATACGTCTAGTCGAGGAATGGCGGGCGCGTGCTCGGGCGTGCGGGCGTGCAAGCACTGCCTTACATGGCCACGATGCTGAGCCCTGTTGGATGGTTAGTCACTCTGGAGTTCACCGCCCACCAAACCACCCCAACCCAACCCGAGGGCCCCGATTTGCCCTTCATCTCCAGTGTGGGGTGGTCGGGGAACCTGGAAAAAGCACACGTGAAGCCAGTACCCCCCCCCCCCAACCCGAAATCCTAGCGAAACTCGGGTCTTCGGGCTGGGTTGGGGTGGCAAGGTAGGCAGTCGGGAGCAGGGCGTTGGAGGAGCCACGCGCAGGTGGAGATCGGCGGCGCGCCGAGGGGGGAAGTGAGCAGGGGCAGGGCTTCCCAGAGGCCGACGGGGCTTCTCAGAAGCCCTCCGGCCTCCTCAGCAGCCGCCTGTGTCTTCGGCTGTGGAGGACGATCAATGGAGAGGAGGCATGTTGCCAAATAATGTCCAGATGTCTAGAACACGTCTTTAAAACTGTGTAAAACGCGTAAAAGCATGTATTAAACATTCCCAGGACATTTTTTTACCGACAATTTGAACACATCTCAAAACTGTTTAAAACACGTGAAAGCATGTTTTTATACATTCCCAGGGCATTGTTTACCGACATTTTAAACCCATGTTGAATTCGACGATAGGACTGTTAGGGTGTCCGTTGTCGTGGCCTCCACAAGCCTTCGGAGAAGGCCTTAAACATTTCCAGGACATTTTTTCAGACATTTTACACACATGTTTCATTCGACGATAGGACTGTTAGGGTGTCCGTTGTCGTGGCCTCCACAAGCCTTCGGAGAGGGCCCGGAAGGCGTCTCAGAGGGCCGGGGGGCCTGCTGCGCCTGCCGAGCAGGCGCCCGCCCTCTGCCTTTCCCCCCCCCCCCCGGGGTGCGCCGCAGAGAGAGAGAGAGAGAGAGAGAGAGAGAGAGA